GCAGCTGAGCACCTGCAGACCACAAAGCCTATGCTATGGCATTTCTGAGATCTTGGACAATCTGACTCACATTCCCTGCCACGGCCACAGCGCAGGGCAGGCAACGGGCACGTAAAAGCCCCAGGGCTAATGCAGAGGCCCCTGGAGACAACAGAGCTGTGCTTGTTTCATGTCTGCCAATGCCAGTGCCCTTTCTCAGCAGGGACATTTCGGGCTGACTGCTGTGCCCGCAGGTGGGGTCACACTGTGAACGCTGCCAGGGCACCTTCACTTGTATAAAACTGTACGAGGACTTGGATTTATAACTACGGAAATGTTTCTATGGGCCTGAGAGGGTTTCAAACAAAAGCAGCAGCTGTTCAGGGTGGAACACAACCCCATTAAGCCTTCAGATATTTCTGACATTGCCAAGGCTTCAGAGAAGTGTGCAGTGTCCAGAGCCTGACAAGCGCCTCCAGAAATCAGGGATGAGACACACCAGTTCCACGTGGCTGTCACACCAGTAACCACCAGCCACAGCTCTGCATTTTTTCAACGACTCATCTGGCAGCAGGTACAGAGCAGCAGTTCAGACTCTGAACAGCGCTCAGGGAACTGCTGGCAGGGGCAGAGCCTCAACGGTCACGTCCGTCCCCTGGACCTCCAGCTCCTCAGGGGTATCTGCCCCACTGCTGTGCTCAGGGCTGGAGCAGGTAACCACCCTGCAATGCCCAGCATGGTTCTCACCTGACGTAGACACCAAAAATACCAAGCTCGGAGATGCACTCGGACACTTGTAGGGGACTGTGAGCCCTCAGCAAGTAATTCCTTGCTGGCTGTGGTTTGATCTTGTCCATCAAGATGTAGGAGGTTCTCTCAGGGCTGTCTCTGATCTTCTCCAGAACCTGCCTGAGCTCTTCACCATACAGGTTGTTCCCTTGGAAAAAAAACCAAAACAGCAGGTCAAGCACTTCCCTGCACAGCAGAAGTCATTGGCCCCAGCAGCCCGAACAGACCCAGCCTTTGCCTCCCCATGTGCAGCCCAGGCTCCCCACACCCCAACTGTGGGGCCCAGGGAGCTCCTCCAGCAGCAGCACTACCTCACTGCTGTGAGCAGTCCCCGTGGCTACCTGCCACCCCACCCCACCTTCTATTCCTCAGCACAGAACCAGGAACCACCACAGAACTGCTGCCTCTCCTGGATACAGCCCAAACCACAAGAAAAACCCACACAGAGCCGCTCCAGCTCATACCTCCACCTTCTCGTTGTGGCTTCAGCACAAACCGGTCGGGGTCAGCGACAGCGGTAGCAGCTATCTTGTCACCCTCTTCACCCTGGCAGGAAAGGATGGCAACAGCAAAGCATCAGAGATGAGCAGGGGCTCCAAGGCCACAAAGCCCTCTCGTTTTCTTAACCAAAGGGAAACATCATGCAAGCCAAGCACATCTGCATCTTTGTTCCAGCCACACTTGCACTCACCATGTCCAGGGAATAAAGTCCAGCAAACGTTGCTCTTATCCGAGCAACAGCCTCGGTGCGGCCAGGCAGCAATCTCTCCAGCGTCCCTGGCCGGCTCAGCTCCTGCTGGACCTTCTTGGTGCCAGCCAGTTGGGTAGCAATGTCAGGGCACTTCACCGCCCTTGATCTCTCCAGCAACAACCGCGCCTCCCAGTTCTGAGGCAAGAAGAGAGCAACCATCCAGTCAGCAAAAAAAACCCACCCAACCCAAGGTTTTCTCCACTTTTTCCTGTTTGGTTATTGACATATGATTTGCCTCCTCCCTCCCTGCCTGGCAGGGGTGGCAGGTGGGAATAGCACTCCAGAGACAAGCAGATGTGCATACATGAATTTCCCATCACCTCTGGAAACAGACAGGACAGCCCACAGTCCCCCTCCCTGGCTTGTCCAGTGCTGCCACCTCCAGACAACAGCAAGATCTGGTCTGTAGCATTATTACCTGCAGCCTAATAGACCTGGCCGAGGACAGAAATTTGTCAGTAGCTCGAGTCTAAACCCTTTCAGCAGGTTACCTGCGTTAACCCACGCTGCACAGAAACAATCCAGTGCTGTGGTAAGAGGTCACCACCTGAGCGGTTACTGGAGAAGCCAGCCACTCGTTTTTCTTACTGTGTGAGCACTGGGGACACTCACACGCACTGCAGAGTCACAGCTGCCCAACGCCATCAGCCACACCACGCAGGCTAACCCCACCCAGGACAGGACAGACACCCAGGGGACCACAGGGTGCTTCAAACCCACTGGGCCAGGCCACAGCACGGGTGGCTTCCTGGAGCAGAGCAGCCAGTACTGACCTCCTGGTCGTAGTTCTTCGGCACGTAGCCCTCTCGGTAGTACACCACTGCTACCTCCTGGCCGTCCCTGGAACAGAAATCAGAAGAACTCACAGAGCCAGGCCAGCCCCCGACCGCCTCTGCCTGAACCCCCCCTCACCAAGGGGGCTGCAGGGGTCAGGCAGGTCACTCGTCACAGCATTTGCCCCTTCTCCTCTGTCTCCTGAGCTGTTCTGCTCCCGGCTGGCTCTGCCAGAGAAAGCTGAGGACTGCAAGCCCTGGCTCCTCTTGCCTTGTCCTGAGACACAGGCAGACAACACCTGGCCTCTACCCTGACTAACCAAAGTCTCAGTAATTCAGGCATCCAGCCCTGCAAGGAGGTAAGAACCTGATTTTTTTAGTAGTTTTTGCCACCAGGGGCCAGGCCTGGGAGATTCTTGAAGCTGAGAGGAAACAGGGTCTTCCTTTGGTGCCAATTCAAGGCAGGACACTACCAACAACCTGCCCACGTACGTCAGCATACCCATAGCACCACGCACCCACGCCTTGGCCACACAAACTGGGCTGTGGTCAGGGAAAGCAGCACAGAAACTGCGTGCAGCCAAGCAGCCTCACTGTAAAGGCATTCAGCAGTTGGAGGAGAGGATGCTCTGGAGGAAGTGCAGTGGATACACTTGCCCCTTAACTGTCTGGCAATGACAAACGTATTCGTTAATTAAACACAGCAGAGGCACCAAAGGTCAAACCACGGAAAAATCAGCTTAGCTACAGAAAAAACACTGGCATGAAACCATAGCCTCCTTTAGGCTCGTACAGCTCCAAGCACGTTACCCTGGAAATAGGGCAACGGTCGCACTTGGGATCAACTGCCAGCACTCGGCACGTCCTGACCTCCCCGGGGAGCAGGAGAGGTGGGGCACTCACAGCCAACAGACACCACACGGACATGTAACGCTTCCTCCTCCAGCACTAACCACCCAGCTCAAATCCCACTGGTAGAGCATCACGTGAACAGTAAACAGGAAATGTCTTTGTGGAACCCTCTGAAACAGCCAGGACTTTTTACAGCAGATGTACATGAAGGAAGTAAAGATCCCACACAACTCTGAAGGCTGCAGCTTGAAGGAGGGAAATGATGTTTCCAGCTCTAAGGGCCTGACGTGTGTACGCAAAAATCTCACCACTGTGAAAACAAAATCATTTCAGCTCCAAGGGGAAGAAGCAGCAGCAGCAGCTGCCTGGAGCATGGAAGAGAACTGCTTTCTCAGCAAGTCACTGTTTACACTCAAAACATACCACCAGCGTTGGCTGCAAACTCCCCTTTACAGCCCGGTGTGAGCGACACGCAGCCAGGAACGCGCACCTTGGCTCATACTCACACATAGAGCCTCTTGGCATCATCCAGAGAGCCCTTTTCAAACACATCTCGGAATCGCCTCCTGATGACCCGAATATTCCTGTTAAGAGAGCAGTGGGAGAGTCACCAGGCTGGGCGTAATTACTTGAGCTAGAAATCACAGGTGGAACCAGTGGCTCCAGCAAGAGGGAATCTGTAAGCTCTTCTGCAAATAACCTCAGGCTTCATACTACAGAGCCAGAGGAATGCTGCAGGCCCTGGTTTTAGCACCCGTCCCATGTTTCCAGCCCAAATACTGTAGGAAGCAGAACACGGACCTGAACACTGCATTTCTCCATACCCACCTCTCACCTCCTGAAGTGTTTCTAAGAGAAGCCAATATTTTGGGGTTTTTTAGTCCCTACACAACAGATGCTCTCACTGTTGGCTTCACAGTCAAGAGTTGCAGACAGATGAGTGATTTCCTGCACGTTTTGACCTCCTCCACACTTTATCCTTTCTTCCACACAGTGGCAGTGTGGACTTGCTGATCCGGAGACGTGGTGTGTTACACCTCCCACTGCTCCAGCACAGGCTCGGGGCTAGACCTTATCCAAACACCCCCATCTCCCAAGTCCTTCACTCCACTGCGGCTACTTGCTTTGCCCAGATCTTTCACCATGGCTTTGAAGCTTTGTTAATTAAGCTTTCATGAAGTACCCTGTGCCCAACACCAAATCAGAGAAGGAGCAGGACTCACACTAACCCTGCCCAGTTACCACGGGCGCAGCTCCGAGGACTATACAGGCACAAGATCTGCAAGGTCAGCTCTGGAGATCAGAGCCTTTGATGGCTCCTGCTATTTCCAGCAAAGAGCTGGAGAGAGGCTCTGGGAGGTTGTGATGAAGATAAAGGTGGGTGCTGAGGCTAAGCAGGAGCCCCCTGAAGGAATGCTGAAGACAGCTGAGTAACAGGCACAGAAATAAGTCCAAGACAAAGGCTGCCCTGTTACATACCAAGACATGCCCTCTCACAGTCTCAGAAACTATGAAGTGTTTTGACTTTATCCTTAAGTAGGTGACAAAGTAAAAAGCAAACAGATTCTGCACGCCCCCATCTTTCCACGACCTGCTCCCACACACCCCCACCACACCGTGCCTGCTGGAGAGCCTGGAGATGCCTCACAAGCTGCCTTGAGGGAAACAGCGCAACCCAGCAGCAGTTCGTTCTGCTTCCCTTTTCCAAAACTGTACCATCTCCTTCCTTTCCCACCCCAGGAAAATTCAACCTTTACCTGTTCCAAAGCTCATTTTCTACGCATCGCTGATCAAAAATGTTCCTTTGGACTTTCTCCACCAGAAACATCACCACAGCACTGGAAGAGATACCAAGGACATCGTTAAACCCAGAAACGCTCCGCATGCACCCAGGATCCCTGTGATTCAGGTTTCCTGCACTGCTCCTGCTTGTTGTCTCCAGCATTTCCAAGGGTCAGCATGAAAAGAGAGTAGCACCGATCCTGCAGCGTTACCAAACCAGTGCAGGGCACAAACACAATGGGAAGAGGCAGGAGGAAAAGCAAGCTCTGTGCAGGGCTGTCGAACCACACAGCTCCTCCGGGGTCCCTTTGCACCTCTCTGCCGCTGTGACACAGCAGCCTTGTGCACGAAGACAACTGCGTTGCTCTTCCCAGGGTGCCACAGGCTTCCTGAGAGCAGTTTGTCTGGCAAACACGCATCTTTCAGACAGAGCAGTTTCAAAACCCAACACCTGCACCCTCAAGGGAGGCAGGACAAAGCAGCCTTTAGCACCTCCTCTCTCCTCACCTCTGTGAGCCGTAGAGCTCCCAGGCTTTCGCGATACCCAAGGCGAGCCCTTTGGCTGGGTTGTTGGGCAGCAGGCGCGATGCTTCCTCAGCCTTTCCCAGCACTTTCAACACCCGCCTGGGGAACAGGAAAAAAAAAAAAAAGCTGTAAATGCCACAACAGCCTCCAACCAAACTAGGGAGCAGGAGTTTGGAGAGCAGGCAAAGACACAGAGTGCAGCAGGCCACGTGGTAAAGCTGCTGCAGCACCTGGCAGCACAGGTCAGGGATGCTTCCTTACCCGTGGACCGCCACCGTGCGGGAGGTGAGGCCTCCAAAGCTGGCAGCAATGGTGTTTATTTCTATCTGTCTCAGAGCCGGTGTGCCATCCAGCCCGCAGTCAAACATGTAATCAGAGCGGTTTATGCCTAAAAACACAGACTGAAACAGAGCGGAGGTGAAGTGGCTTCTCCTGTTGCCTTTAACTGCAAATCCCTTTGATGACCTCGCTTCAAAATCCTCCTGGGGCAGACCCAAAAACCTTCATTTTGATAAAAAGCTCTGCAAGATGTGGCCGTGGGTGATTTGGTCCTTACTCAGGACCCACAGTCCTCCTCAATACCCCAGAGGAGTTAGCAACACTCCTGACAGTCAAGGAGCTCCTGCAGGGACAGCCTGTCTGGCACAGTCCCAACACAGAACATGTCCTTGCACTCTCCTGACAGTCCCAGAGGACAAAGACAAACCGTACTAAATCCTCCCAGTCAAGACCTGACCGATTCCAGCAGCACCAGCCAAAGGGCGTGACTGTCAAACAGGGCAAGGTCCTGAGCTCGCAGGCCGTAACCGAGAAGACGTGGTGCAGAGAGCGACCGGCCTGACCAGGGCACAGTTCAGAGCCCACAGCAGCAAGCCAGCCTGCAGAGCCCAGGCACTCCCAACGCAGTGCTGCTGGCCACTGGGGCCTCCTGCCACGGTACCTGAGCCAAGCCTTCCTCCAAAACTTGCATGTGGATTCTGAAGAGTCGGGCTGTGAAGTCATCTACCTTGATGGTGCTAGAGAGAAAGACAGACCAGATCAGCCCCCTTATGCTGTCAAAGAGGAACAAGAAAATTAATTCCTCTCCAGAAAAACACCTTACCAGGGATATTCTCCAGCACAAATAGCAGGGCTCTGGCTAGACTAAGCCCTACAGCACTGTTAAGCGTCTCACCATGAATGCACTCTTCATCACGGGCCACAGTGCACAACCATAAAGCAAACCCGGTTTGCTCAGCACAGCCACTCTACAAAAAGCACAGCTGGGCAGAGGTGACTTTCACTTGCAGGGCAGAGAGGCAGGCCAAGCAAAAGCAAATACACGCAGCAGAACTCTGCAGGTACAGGAAGGAAACCACAAGTGTCTCTGTGCCTGCACACACAGTTCACAGAAGTAGCTTCACAGGCTTCATCAAATCTCCCCTGTCCTGCTGGGCCCCAGATCCCACACGCTCTGGTGCTTCAGTGGCCCTGCCAGAGTAGGTCTGGCTCTTCTCCAGGGTCTGAAATTCCTGAGCCAACTGTGAGCAGCACCTCCAAGGAGCTGCCCTGAGACACTGTGCAGAAGATGGCGCATGGCAGTGCCTGCGTGCACACAAGCCCCAGGTGCTGTGTTCCTTAACATGCCCCCACAAGCTCTGGTTGCAGACACTCTGAAACAGGCACAAGCACTAGAATAGCCTGGAGGGGCCGGGCTTTAGCAAAACAAAACACTGCTGTAAAAGACTCTCCTTTGTTCTGTCTCGGTGCTGGAGAGTCATCAGCACCCGTGCAGACAGGCAGCAGGAAAGGAAATCAGTTCTGTGGAAGCATCAGCCCTCCAGGTTATGGAGGTCAGTCAGGGGTGGTCGCTCCAGCACAGGGCAACAGCTACAGACAGACCCAGCAGAGCCCATGAGCCAGAGCTGAGGAGTCCTCCAGCACCCAGAGCTTGCAGGTCACCTTCCCGGCCTGGCTGGGAAAGCAGGGGACGCTGGGTGACTGATTGGAGGTAGATGTGGGGGAAGGAACAAACACCACTTCATAACTGTGGATGGGCAGCAGAGCTGGTGGTTACTGGATAGCCATAGGCAGATGCAAAACAAGACTAAAACAGGCTACCAAATCTAGGACTCAAAGAAGCCTAAAGCAATTTGAATTTAAGGCCTAAAGGCCAACAAGCTCACAAGTAAGAATTCACAAGCTTGAAACACTGGCAAAACTGAAGATCATTGCAGGGAGTCAACTCTTGGCCACGTCCCATCTTCTGAGGCCCAAGGAGGCCTCAAAACACAGAGACTTGATGGAAATTAGTCTTAGGACAAATAATGCAGCAAAGGAGACAACTCCTGCGTAGAACAGGAGTGCCTGCCTCAGCTTGAAGCATGTGAATGGTTGTAAGGTAGGAATGCCTGAAGGGTGATGAAACAGTTCATATTTAAAATATTTTATTAAAATGCAACATGCAAGAAAGTTACCTGGCCAAAGTACGCTCCAGGAATTCTTTGTTCTGGCTAATGGCATCCACCAGCAGATTAAAGTCTTGCTGAACAGCATACGCTTGTTCGAACAGGGCACACGGTACTGCAGAGGGGAGCAGCGTGAAGGGAGCGTAATTCACCACCTGCAAACACAAACGCGGCAGCAGAGGAGTCAGTCTCAGCACAAGGGTCCAGAGGGCTGGAAACCCACCCTGGACCACGCAGTTTAAATGGGGCTAAAGAGGTGCTTCCTCTGCTCGGCTGAAGGTTCACGCCATCCCCAGGCCCCCTGGCTCACCCTGGACAGACACAGGGCCTCATCCCTGCTGACCCCTGACTTACAAGGGCTTTGCTTTAAGAGCTGTCTGCAGGGTGCAGTGGAGGCAGCTGCTTCAGAGTCCCAGCTGAGCTGAGTGTTTCCCTCTGAAGGATACTCTGTTTCCACCCTAACTGGAGTGCAGTCTCCAAAACACCTCTGTTTCAGACAAAAGGTGAACTTGCCAGTCCTGGGTTTTGGCCATCAAGAGTTGCTTCCTTTGATCCCTGCTTACTGAGTCTCAGGGGTGACTCTGGACCTCTGGCTCACGCCACAGCTCAGGCATGGAGCTACCCTCAAAGCCAAAACATTACATCAGAGAGAAGTTCCCAATTCACTTTGATTTTTAAACGAGCCAAGGGACAGTGCGTTTGGCCTCTCCACCCAGGCTCCTGTTTCCTCTCACCCTGGGAGGTTCCCTCACAGCCCTGACCTGACCATGGGGCTGACATCAAGGAGCAGCCCCCGTGGTGGAGAATTCATGTACTTCTGCCAGCTCCGAGTACAGCTGCCTTCTTGCCCCCAGGCTCCTCAAGGACCTGTCCCCAGGGGTCCCTGAGACCCTTCATGGCACCCCCCCCACATCCAACAGGCTAAGCCCTCCAACAGCACCTGTGCCCCAGCCAGAGATTCACCAGAGGTAACCCCACACATTGGCTACCCCCGTCCCCATCACCTTGTCCCAGGTATGGAGCACAGGCTCACTTGTAGCTGGAGCGCACCAAAACCAGAGGTCCTTCCGAGAGACGCTCCCCTGGTTCAAAGGCTCATACAGGCGCTGAGAGGCTGGGAGAGGGATGAACTCCCACCACCGCACACACGCAGGGCTCCTGGCATTTTCCCAAACCTTTCCAGATCTACCCCTCGCCTTGGCAAAGTGGAACTGTATCACAGGGCTGTCTCTCGGGGAGGTGCACTCATCAGCAGGAGGGGGTATGATTTACAGCCCCCCAGGTCGGCTGGGCGCTCGCTGCAAAGCGCTGCTCGTTGACTAGGGCTCCGCAAACCCAGGGATGGCAGCCGGCTACTCCCCGAGCTCCTCTCGCTTTGCTGACTCACACCGCGGCCAGCACCGGACACGTCCCGTGACTCCGCTCCGGCA